GTAACGTTAAGTAATTCAGTTATTCACATAGACATAAGTGACATTTTTCTCTCAAACAAACGGATATAAAACACAAATGAATTGATAGTTTTGTTATTGAAATTAAGTTGGAGAGTTACACATATTTTGTTAGATGTTTCATATATTTGAAGCAATATTCGGTGTAGAATTAAAGTCCCAAAAATCTGAATAAAATTGCACTTATGAGAGAGTCCGGCCACTAAAATGATGTTCAAAATTAAGATTAGCTAGTAAAGAAACCATGTAAGAAACTAATTAGTATGATGTGATTTTGAATAATTTATAAATAGAAAATTGAGATAATGCAAATACAATTGGGGACGCAAATTAATTAGTTTCCTTTTCTTGGGCTGATAAAGATGAGAAGAAGACGCAATTCTGAATTTCAGACACTGCCGATTTTGGAAACCGCATTCTTAGCCAGTGAACGGTGCCCTACATAGCTTGCACAGTTCTCATTCCTATCATTAAAGATACAACCAAGAAACAAAAGCAGAAAATGCACGAAGAGACAAAAGCAAAAGAAGACAAAGGGCTTTGTTAACTTCAAAAAAGAATGGGATATTTAATCTTTTTGAACTTTGTTTTTTGGTGTAACACATTACACATGCCACGCCACGATAAACGATTCTCCTCGTAGTATATCTATCAAAACGACCAAATTGGTCTTCCATAGTTATATCATCATAATTAATTAATGAGATATGTCACGTAGATACACATGTAAGATTAACTAAAAGACATCATTTTCACAATCGTAGACTTAAGTGTTTAGTTTTTTTTTTTACTTTTGTTGTTAAAAGATAAATATTTCATTCATGAATGAAAAAATTCAGGTTTACAATTGCTAGTTATAAATCTAGTAAATGATTTCACGACAAAAAAGATAAAAATCTGGAGATCATAAAACATATAAGATTTTCAATCCGCCGCTCAACATTTACCCGAAGGTTAACAGAGCAGGCGAAGTGATGTCGATGTTGGATGTTCATCCAGGATCATTTGGCGCAGAGAAGTTGTGAAGGCATGAAACAAAAGCCGCAAAGAAACGAAACCCGAAGCAGTAGAAGCCGTTCAAAGAGGACCAAACAAAGAGGTGTCAACGAAACAGGTTTCAACGACCTCGATCACTAACTCCCTGGTAATCTAGTGAGAGCGACTAGAAACGCGAATCCATGAGCTAGCTCCAAGAAGAGACCTTACACCAAGAAGCGTAAGGAGCAAGCTTCCCCTACCAACAACCATGGCTAGTACAAAGCAAGATATAACCAACGAAAACACTCCTAACGGCAACGATCTTACTAGCTCCTCTACAGCACAAATCAAGTCGTACNGACCTCTGCACCTAACCAACAACTAACCTAAAAAACCAACCTCAAGAGAAGGATACAACCAACAACAGGTCGTGCCCAACCAACAAGTACCGAAATACGACGATGTAGACCAAAGAGACAACTAACAAGCTACCACCGGCAGCTAAGCTATAACTCATTCTACAACACCGCAAGAACCAGGGGAGGGAAAGCGACAGCCAAGGCAATACCTCACAGCTCGAGACGCAACCATGACCTCCAATCAGGAGGAGAGATCGCTGTCCACAGTAAGTCCAGCTCAAGAGAGGCCAAATCAACGAGCATTATCGACTAGGCAAAGCCAAAATCACCAAACCCCTGGGACTATGCACTGCAACAACCTCAAGACGGTCGGGGCTAAGGGAATGAAGCCCCAAAATAGGAGAAGAAAGCCTCAGGAGAAGCTAATTCAACACCGCAATCGAGATTCACCAAGCCACGAGCCGAAGAGAAGACAAGGGGAAAGAGTGGTGGAACAGAGTCCGGTCCTCCACAGGCCTCCACCTTCCTCAATAGGTAGAAGTCCGGCGCTGGAGAAGCCGCACCACCAGCTAAAATCCTTGCACGACGGAGCATCCCAACCGCAGGTCGGGAGCTTGCAAGACCAGAAAAGTTGAAAGAGGATTCGTCACGGCTAACGGACGCTGCTCCAAGCAGATTGAATCCTCTTCCAGCAAAGGAATTACGAGGTCAGAGGGAGATCTACGGGGTAGATCTGACGGTCGAAGAGTCGTGAGGTGAAGCAAGGGTTTGAGCCCAGCACCGGACGACGACTCTATGGCTTCGACAAGCACAGAGGCGACGGCGGAGATACCCTTGAACTCCGACGCGGCCGTCACGACGCGTTTCTCCGACCACTCACCATGTGATGCAGTACCGGTCAAGAAGATGAAGGAGGGCACGATCCAAGGGAACCGTAGCAGAAAGGGGGAGGACAGAGGCCCTCTCGCAGCGCCGGACGAACCCAGCCGCCTGAGAGACGAGCAGTTCGGCGAAGACAGAGTGAACAAAACGAGTTTTTTGGGGTTAGAATCGCCGCGCGTGCCCGATTCTCTTTTTTGAAGTCCCCAGTTTACATACAACATGTGTTTATGGCATGTGATTAAAAGATCACCGTTGCATAATTACGTTTAGTGTTTTTTTTTTGTGTGTGTGTGTGGTCTCGAGCTTCTCCAGTCACCGCCTCACCGCGATAAACAGAAGTTAAAAATCATTAAACAAAATTGTTTTATATCCGAAAGTACCCCTACTGGTCCATGAGGTTCCAAATCTGTGGAAAAGGAGGTGAGGTCACGACCCCACGTGGGATACACAAACTACATCAGTGGCATACACTCGTAATTTATAGCAACCATTAAGGGGACTTTCATTGTTCCACCTCCTTATAAGCAATAGCCCCAAACTCTCTTTGTCAAATACAAAACAAATTCTCTCTTTATCTCTTTGCTTCCTCCGTTACAATGGGAGGTGTCACCGTCACCGTCACCGTCGTGTCTCTCTTCCTTCTCATCGCCACCGCCAATTCAGCCGTCGTCTCCTTCCGTGACGGTAAACTCAATTATACCAACACCTTACTCCATACTCCATATATAATCAACCATTATTACATGAATACAGTTTTCTTTTCTCAATTCCTATTTCCTACTATAAAGATAGCTATATTATCCCCCACTGTTATTATTTAGAACGGTTTAGTAAGGGGTTTCTTAATCTTATTTTTTTTCACAAAATTTAATGAAAAAGAAGGTCAAATTTTATTCAGAATTCTT